CCTGAGCTGGGGCTGAATAATCCCCTGCCACAAAAAACTGCTGCAAGGCCAAGGAATACTTGAGACACCTGATGGAACAAAAAGATAACCAGTGGCACATGTATTCTTTCCAGGCATGGTTTATTGAAAACACACCAAATTGTTAACCTACATACCTGGCTTCTAACAAGCATTCTACTTGTCTGCATTATGGAAAGATCCTATAATAATAATACATTCTGTCACGGTAACATTTGTTCTATGAAAAGCATAATCCACCTTTTTTTTTTCCTCTTCATACTTGTAAAATCAAACCATTCTAAGTGTTTCAGTTTATAGTACAGTGTAAATACAATGCAAAATCCCACCAGTCTAAACTACAGAGAGAATGTTGAGCAGTATTACAGAAAACACATTGTTGATTTTTTTTTTTAATTCTCCTACCATGAAAATTTTAAGGCACATGATAGTTACAAACACATTAGCTACTAATTACCAGTAAGCTTCTTAGTCTAGTTATTTTGTTTTTCTGAACAGTAAGAACCAGACTGGCAGGCCTTGTAGTATCTGCACTATCTTCCTCCCCACCTTGGACTTCAGATCATCCTACCCTGATGTCAAACGTAAGACAGAAAACAAAGGTTCAGGATACCTTCTCCTCAAATGCACTAAATTAGTCACTGTACCAGGAAGGCAGAGAGTTTCTCTGTCAAACATAAGGAAACACCAGATTTTAGGGGCATCCAAACCCAGAAACTTTGCAGGAAACTACAACTATATAAACAGCTTGAACAGCTGTGAGAGCAGAGCCCCAGCCCCAGCCCCGCCCGTGCTGGGGGCACTGGCACTGCAGGCCTGGCTGAGCGGGCACCGCCACACCACAGGGGCTGGCACCGCCACAGCACAGGGGCTGGCACCGCCACAGCACAGGGGCTGGCACCTCTGCTTGTGCCCACGGGGCTTCCTCGGGGTGGGACTGCGCCTCTCACAGCAGCTGAGCCTGAGCTCAGCTCTAAGGCAGGTGGCAGAAGGGAACTCCCCACCCTCAGTCTCGTGGAGCTGCTCTGGGAGTGCAAACTGCCCTTCCCAGCAGTGCTGGGAACTGCTCCCCACAGCAGGCAGGAACCTCAGAACCTGCTGCAGCAAACACACCCCCTGCGTCCTTCCTGTGTCCCTGGCAGCAGCTCAGCTCCTCCTCAGCCCCTGCTGGGACATCCCTGGGACAGGGGCAGGATCTGCCTTCCTCCTGCAGGTGCCTTCGGAACGGGCAGCTCTGAGTGCCCAGGGCAGGGCAGGGCAGGGCAGGTGGAGTGCCCAGGACACACTCCAGGCTGGGACCTGTGGCTGCCCGGGCTGTTCCCTGGGGAGCATTTCAAGCTGACAACACACCTTGAGTTGCACTTATGGCTAATATGCTACTTAATTCCAAGACAGAAACAAACTGTCCTAAATCCCTGGCTTTCCACTCTCCTCCTCGGATTCTGCAGACAGATGGACTGACCTGGGAAGCTCAACTGCTCACACACCCAACACTCAGACCGGCTGCTTCTCCAGGGGAGTCGACACAGTTTTGGTTTTTTAAACCTCCACAGCTTCATGAAGGTGCTTGTTCTGCAGTAATCATGTGCCATCACAAGTTCCCTCTCCCTGTGTTATCTCAGCCCTGACTGGGCCATCCAATTTCCTCCTCCTCTTTAGCAGGAGCCTTGCAACATCATCACGTCCTTCCACAACCATCCCTCCCACCAGAATTTCCACAGGTAGAAATCTCTTCTACCCCAGCGCTTTGCAGGCAGATTCCCTCCAGTTTTCCCAGTGAAGCCAACAGGAAAAGAGGAGGTCACATCCGTGAGCCCTAAAAAGCACTGCCTGCCTTTTAGCAGGAGACTCTAGACCCTACTGCAGCTTTAATCACACACATTGCCGCTTTCCCTTCTTTACATACAGTCCCTGCTGCCAAAATACAACAATTACAGGTTCATCCACCACATCCCAGAACAGCTCCGACAGCCACTCACAGACAGGACATGAGATCACCAGCCCTGGTTTGGGGTACCCTGCTTCAGACCTCAGCTGGGGGGCTGACAGCACATGGAACTCACCCCGTAATCTGCTCTCCTTCCTCAATATCCAAACTACAGTTTGTTGAGAAGAAAACCCCCCAGTAATGCTGAGGATGGGTTATTGCTACATACTTGGGAATGAGCTGTCACTGTAAGGCATGGGGAGGGGGGGGGATCAGACTGTGATTCCCAGGGGAAGCCTTGGCCCATCCACTTGGTATCCAACTTCCTGACATACCATCCTTTGCTTCCCTGCAGCCACAAACCACGCTGCCAGCTCCCAGCTCTGCTGGCTGCCATCACACTGACCCCGGGAAAACAAGGGCCAGTCTGCTACAGTGACCTGGGCAGCCAGTGCCATCCAACCTGACAGGGAGGGTTGTTATCACAGGGTGCAGTGGAAATACAAAAAAAAGCTTTTGGGGGGAGCGGGATGGGGTCTGAATTCGCTTCTCAAACACTCCTTAGTGTTTTTAGCCCACTAATGAAAGAGACTGAAGTAGATCCAATCCAGATTTGGAGTGTCCCTGTAGTGTGCCACTGAGAGCCATGGGCTATCTGGGATAGGAGGTCATAACTGGCCCCAGTCACTTCACTTCCCCCCTTCCTGTGGTTTTCTCTGTTAACCTCTTGCTGGCTTTGAAATATCTGTACAATAACTAAACCACAAAGTCTTAGCAGAGACTCCTTTCAACAGTCAGGTCTTTAAGTGAACTTTTGCTCCTTTGGTAAATAAATGGTTTGAAGTAGATCAGGGACAGACTGACAGCACGGCCCTTCTCTCACACTGTTCTAATCACTACAAAGCAGGTTCCGTTGCTAATTACTGAACGTTTTTAAAAAAATCCTGTCATATACAAAAAGAATACACCAAGTACATAACCAAAAGTGATATAAAACTCTTCTGTGTAGCTCAGTTAAAAGGGTCTCTGCGCATCGGCAGAACGAGTATGAAAAGAGCACCATTGAGAGAATGTACAGGCAGACGGTGGGGCTGCTCTCACTGCCCCGAGAGGTACAGCCCCGACAGGTACAGCCCCAATAGGCACAGCCCTGACAGGCACAGCCCTGACAGGCACAGCCCCCCTGACAGGCACAGCCGCCTCCCCTGCTCCCACAGCCCAGCAGGGCTCTCGTGCAGCTGAAAACACACACTTTGCTCTCTTGATTTGCTCCAAGCAACTTCACCCTCCCCAGCATCCAGAAGCCACCACTGCAAAGCCGTGGAAGATGAGGGTGATGCGAAGGAGCACACGTGTCATCCGAGTCACTGACAGCTTCTGGCATCAGTCTTTTTCCCTGAATCAACAAATGCTTCCCTCTCCTGCAAACTACTTTACATGGTTTTGTTAACCTATCCTCTGCGCAACAATATATATATATAGATATATAGACTTTTTTTATTTATTTATATATATGTATCCATGTCAAATTTTTAATATACTCAAGAAGATACAAAGCTCTTGGTACTTGCCTTTTTTTAAAGTTTTTAAATCTTTTTTTACAAAAAAAAATGTAGATGTTTACTCTTACAGTAATATTTTGGGGGAGGCGAGGTTGTTGGGTATTTCCCCTTTTTAATTACAAAAGAAACGGCAGGCACTGAAAACAGCAGATGATGTTTGCTGGACTCAAAAATGTGCTTTCCAGTCACACCGTTTTTAGGAGCTCATTTAAAACTAAATGTGGCAATCAAAGAACAGTGGCAACCAAGTAAATTCAGCAGAAATCCTCTCATGCTACTGGTGAAACATTTGCTTCCTGTTCTCATCTGCTGCCCTGCCCTGAGCACTGCCTGGAGGAGTTGGGGGCTCTGAGCTCGTTCAGTTGGAGCAATTGCAGCGCCCAGCCCGTTCCTGGGGGTGACCCTGCCCTGCCCGGGGCAGGCCTTGGCACTGGGCAGAGCTGCTGCCCACGGGGCACTGCGGGCCAAACCAATATGCCATCTCAGAACAAAAGCACAGGAACACAGAAATCATGGTGATGATGATTTAAAAAACGCCAAACCGGTTCCCTTTGTGGCATTTTTCATCAGGATCTACAGCCCAAAGCAAACATGGGTCCAACAGTGAAAGATTTACCATGAAACAGAAGTGACAGACCCATCTAAAACGTATCCTGTTTTCAAAATAAGACATCCTACAGAAAAGCTCTTGTTCTTTTCCAGTGCCACAACAGCTATGGCAAAAGTAATTGTTAATCATCATCAATGCAACAGTGGTACATTTAACACGCAAAAGCTCCTTATTGCGATCTTCGAGAATATGAAAATAAAAAGCCAGCCAACTCCATTTCTCAGCACAGATTTCTGAACCAGGGACACTGAAGCCTTCCATAACTGCTTTTCAATATGTGGAAATAAAAACAGAGACATTACAGAATTCAAAAGGCAGAAGTATTGTACACCAGCTTATAATGACAATATAGCACTGTGATTGATACAGCTTACTCTAAAAGCAGATTATACAGCTTGCATCAATTCTGTCATCCACTCTCCAGTTCATCTGACTAGCGTTTCTGTTCTGCATTCTCTCCCTTCACTGAAATCCAATAAACCCACTCACCATTCCTGCGCTTTCTGTGGAAATAAGAAAGAAAACCTGAACCTTTTTCAAAAAGCCTTCAAAAACGTGAAGTAGAGTCACAGTTCAAAGGAAATCCCCCAAAACAAACAAAAAAAACCCAAACCAAGGAGCCCCAAGGCAGGAAAGTGCTCTCATCCTCACGGCTGCCCCGTGGTTCCATCTCCAGTGTCCCCAGTTCTCTGGCTGTGCCGCCTTGGCCGTGCTCGGCCCTCCCTGCCCGCCGGCCCCGGCCCCGCGGGTCCCCAGGGAGCAGCAGGACAGGAAGGTTGGACTCTCTGTTGCTCTGTTCCTGCAGGAGGGGCAGGGAGGGGGTGGTGGCTGTCCTGGGGGATGCAGGGGTTGAGGAGCACGCTGTGGCTGTCAGGCAGGGCGCTCCAGCGCTCCGGGCCATGGCAGGGGGTTCTCCCACACCCTCCTGCACCTGCAGAGCCCGCAGCCCGTCAGGGATGCAGCGCCCTCCGAGTCTGAATGGCAGTGGTGACTGATGAGATCCTGTGTCGATTCAATGTTTGTTTCTCCCCCTCAATTAAAAAAAACGTGGTTGGACTTTAGCCCTGCAAAATAAGGTCAGAATTGGTTAATACCGGTCAGCAACACGGCCTTGGTGATCTCCATCCCCTCGTGCCAACTGACCCCCAGCACACGGGTCCCTCGGAGGGTTTGTCTGGGAGAAATGAGCCCAGACTGCTTTTCCCAGTCAGGACCCCGGTGAGAGGCTTCAGAGAGGGCAGGAGAGCAGCAGGCACCGCTCACACACTCTGCCCTCAGCCCGAGCCTCGGGGAGCCAACAGTGCAGGGGCTGCCCTGGCCATGGACCAGCCCCTACCCACACTGCAAACCTGCTCTGGGCAGGGCCCTCCACCCCCCAACACAAACAATCACACTCAGCATTCACCCCAGACTGAAAAGGAGAGGGCAGAAAATATCCAATACCACCCCCCAGAAACATCCAGGAGTTTTCTCTCCCGCTAATGCAAGGGATTTCCGTGTAGGATTATGGACAGATGATGGTTCATTGTTTGAGATTTGGGCCTTTAAAGGTCTGTTGTCCACTCTGATGGGGAAGTTGCTCAGTGCCTTCGTGACAGTCAGTAAAATTTCCCTTTAGTCATAGCCAGGGGCACAACACCTGCTGTTCCAAACACAGCACCCTCTGATGGAGTGCCAGGACGCATCACCAGGGTAACTCGAGCAAGGCAGCAGGAGACAGATTAGCAGTGGCAGGAGCGAAGAAAGGCCAGTGACATTACCAAGGAACTTGGCACGTGGCAAAGGCAGACAACCAGAAAGCGACACAAAGGCATCTTTCTTTAGTGACAGGGAAAAAAAAAGAAATTGAGAGGTGGGAGCTGTGGGTCACTGTTTATTGGGTGACCAAAATTATCTCTCCTTGCAGAGTAACTTGTGTACAGTCAGCAGCTTTCCTGCAGATAGGCAGGGCTGTGGAATACATGGGAACCTCAGGGGACATCCAGAAATAGTCAAGGATATGCTTTTCCTAAAGTCTCAGACTAATCCTTATAATGAGCAGACAGGGGGAAAAAATGGTTGGAAACAGGAACACAGTACTCCAATTCATTCCCACGGCCTAACAGAAATATTTCACATTTCAGCTGGCAACCAATCATTCACAATATTAATTTTCTGCCTGCTTATTTGACAGGTTATTTTTTAATCAAAGAGTGGTGTTTGATTGCATTTCATTAAAGATACACTGAATAATGTAAACACCACTTTTTCTTGCAAATGCATTTTCATTTATCTGAAAGCACCCAGTTAGCAGTTAGACTTGAGGAGATTCCACAGTGATACAGATCATGCACCAGAGAAGTTAATCACTAGCCCCAATTACCATTAAAAGGACCTACCATGCATGCAAATTAGACCCAGGAGTCAACAGGCTGGGGTTTAATGTCACGGGCATCCACCAGATTCACCGAAGCCCTGTTACTCCTGTTAATGTTTTTCCTATTTGTGTCATTCTGCAGCACAGGGTGAGGAGTTAAAGCAAAACAGAGCGGATTAATCAAACAAAACCACCAAACAAGTCAGCTTCAAGTAGCACAAGGGAAAATTAGTGGTTGAGGAAGAAACAGGATCAGCAAAGGCACAATACTGACAAAAGCACCTGCAACAGCCAAGAGGCTGCACTCCCCTGCAGTCGTTGTTGCTCAGGATTCCCAGCCCCCCGGGAGCCTCAGGGCTGTCACAGCACCCCCAGTCCCAGCTCAGCCTCAGCACAGGCACAAGGAGGAGCAGCAGCTGCTCGGCTCTGCTGAGGGAGGGCAGGCCCTGCACACCTTTGCTGTGCCCAACAGCCCGAATTCAATTTACCCTCAGGTCCTCAGAGCCAGGAGACAGCACAGACTGGGGGTTACACACCCTCAGGGTGAAATGGGGTTTGTCTTTTTCTCTTTAATGAATTCTGGCGGCAAAAATAACAAGTACTTGTTAATTTTCCTGTTTGGCCTATTTTCTTTAGGTAGACATTTTCTGCCAAGCTCCTGCTGATCAACATTCTTGTACCACATCCATTCCTGCTGCATCCTTGCAGAGCATCTCAGAGCCCTGGTGAGGGAGTTTACTCTGCTGATCCTGGCTCAGCAGGGCCCTCTCCTGCCAGCTGGAGCAGGGGAGCACGATGGACACCAGTAATGCAAGGTGAGAACACCCAGCCAGACCAAATCATTGTCCAGGGTGTTCCCCAAGGCAAGGCAGGACTGAGCAGGAACTGCCTGACCAGGCAAGTGAATACAGACAGGATGGTGCAGCAGGACATCTCCCTAATTCAGGATCTAGGGAAATATTTGTCTCCAAATCACATTTTTATTTCCCTTGTTCAGTGATGGGGGTGTTTTCCTTTCAACTGACTGAAGTTTAATTCTTTCCACTCAAATCACCTGGATTTTCACAGCCTTCTGCAGAGTAACAATATTGTTTCCTACCACTGCCTCTTGTTTTCATGAATCCTGCCCTTCCTTCTCGAAATTACTTCCCCAGGGGAAATCCCAAGTTGTTTTGAGGCCCGGGAGAACTGGTGGCCAACACGAACAGACTTTTTAAAAGGCCACTGACAAGGTACAACAATGCAACAGAAATTACACAGAGCCTGCTGAGCCACATTTGCACCAACCCCCCCACAAAAAGCTGTGTGAAGATTTTTTTCTAATTGGAAAGTTGTCTAAATTTGGTTTTAGAAGGCACACACATAACTGTGCATGTCTCTCCGGGGTCCATGCCCACAGTCACCATCAGAGGAGTGAGTGAGTGTTGCAGGACTGAGCTGTTCACCACACTGCTCACACTGCTGGACATGGACACACAGGATCACATCTGCTCCCGAGGTGAGGACAATAAAGCAGTGGGACAGACTGAAGAGAACAAAGTCTGAGCACAGTTACACACTCCAGGGCCAGGGAATGCTGCCTGCACAAAGGTGACAGAACAAACACTTCCTATTTTTACAAACTCATCCACTTACAGGAATACAGCAACTGCCTGCATTTGCTCCTGCACCAGAAAGCAGCACTTTGGTTTTATTTCTAGTTAGCCAAGTGCTGAATTACTAAATAATGCCTTTATGTGGAAAGGAAGAACAAAAGAAAAGAGGCCCTTTGCAGCTCCCAGGTGAGCAACTCCCACAGGGCAGGGACAGGAGCTCAGTGTTCAACAGGGAGCAGGGACAGGGACAGGAGCTCAGTTTTAAACAGGGACAGGGACAGGAGCTCAGTGTTCAACAGGGACAGGAGCTCAGATTTAAACAGGGACAGGGACAGGAGCTCAGTTTTAAACAGGGACAGGAGCTCAGTTTTAAACAGGGACAGGAGCTCAGTTTTAAACAGGGACAGGGACAGGAACTCACTTTCAAGGGCTCCTTCTCCGAGGCGTCGCCCTGGTGATCGCTGCTCTTGTACTTGCGCTCCTTGTCGCGGTGGTCGATGGTGGAATATCCATCTGGGGAGACACAACAGCTCAGTCAGGCAGGAAGCACATCCAGGAGCAGCACCAGTGCTGATGCCAGCAGAGCTCTGCAGCAGAGGAACAGCAACACAAACCATCACCCCCCAGAGATGCGGCAGCCTGCTGCTGATGTGCTGCAGCTCTGCAATTCCAGTTCTACCAGCTAAAGTAAAACAGAGGAGCCCCTTTTTGTACAGCACTGCCAGATGCTGGCACTCATTAGCAAGCAGCACTGTTTTCATCCCAGCCTGCTGCACTTCTCAGTGTGCCCAAGGAAAGCAGCGAGTTGTCATCTCAGGCCTGTGGCTAATGAGCTCCAAACTCAGCCCAAATCTCGAGTTCCTTGCTTAGCCGCCTGATTAATTGGCTGTGTTCATTCTCTGAGTGCTCTGCAGCATGTTCCCTCTCTTCCTGAGCCTGACTGCTAGCAGGACACGACAATAATGTGGCAGAGTCCCCATCAGAGCACTGAGACAAAGGGCCTGTCGGGTTGGGAGGAAAGTCACTGCAAACCCTGCTGTGCCTGGGCTGACTTTCATTGCCAGGGCACCTGTTGGTGCCTTTTCTCTTGACAGCCAAGGAAGAGCATGAAAGCTTGATGAACACAAGGAAGAAAAGTGTGAGAGGGTTTTATGAAGAAATGGCTCTAATTATTTCAGAACCTTTGCTTTGAATCACTGTCAGCCAATGCAAAACTTAATTTATTTTCATGATGCATCGAATTTCCCTCATTATCAGTGACAAATGGATCCTCACCTGCTCTGTTTTGACAGCATTGTAATCTGGAGTAAATGACACCCAAATTTATAGCTCCCTGTAGGCTTTTGTTTTGCCCTGTGTAATGGAGGGATCATTGATGTTTTCCTACCTGACAAACTGGGTTTTTAGAACACCACAAAAAGGTTTTACATTAACTATCAAAATGCTCCCCTCTCAGTTTATTACCTGCCTGCAACAGGCCATTACAAAATAATGAGTGATGCTTTTGTGGGGTTCCTGAGGCACAAAGAGGCACTGTTTGCCCAGTGACAGCTGCACACACAGCCAGTGAGCTGCACAAACCCCATCCCAGAGCTGCCCTGGCCAGGTGAGACTGAAAGAGCTGCAGTCTTCCTGTGCACCCCCAGCCACAGTGCTCACAGACCTGAGCAGCACCTGAGGCACCAAATATTTGTGACATCCCGGGCAGTAACAGATTATTTAACCACCCTGCCTAAAAATAACTCCAGAATTCTGGAGTTACTCATGTAGCACATAGATCACAGAGCATGAAAACAGCTGTTACACAACACTCCACTTACAATTACTTGTTGACAATGAAGATGCCTGACATTCTTGGCTAACCCTTCTGAACAAAAAGGAGAGGAAGCAGCTGCAGCCCCAGCTACCCAGCCAGGGGAACTGGGACCAGGAATTCTCCTTCAAATGACAGGCACAAAACACTGCTGGTAAGTCCTGGCCTGATCTAAGGATTCCTCGTTTATTTAGGACTCACCAGGTCACACAGGTGTGTATAAATGATGGAAACAGGGTGACTCCCCCAAAGAACCAAACCTGCAGCAGGAGTGGCAGCTTCTCCCAGCCCAGTGTTAATTCTACTCACAAGGCTGTACTGGATCACTTGGCATTTTTGTAGTGCCACCATCGTGGCTGATCCACAGACATTTTCAAAAGGAACTGTGAGATGCAAAGGAACATTTAACCTCCCCCCAGAAAGCAACAGCCACTGAGTGAAGGATGGCAGCTCTGATACCCCCAGGGAGCAGGTCATTAGTGAAGGCTCTAACCACAAGAAGCTGAAAGCACAACAGATCTTTACTACTAAAAAATTAAACCCCCCGTGCTTAGCCAGGACACAGCAGCAGGAGGAAGATGAAGCTCAGGCACAGGGGCAGAAATCCAACAACAAAGAGGGCCCAGAACTCTGCTCTTCGTGCCCAAGTTCCAGCATGTTTTGCAGTCTGTCCTGCTGCTGTGGGGGCCGCAGGCACACCAGCACCAGTGGGTTGGGTTTCCAAAATCCACACACTGTGCTAGGAGCCTGCCAAGACAGGCAGCAACTGCGATAGGAAGTTCATGATTTGACCCGATAAAATGAGAAATATCTTGAAGGAGACTGCATCAGAGAAGTAACACCTCACTGTCCCAAGGACCAAAGCTTTGCAAAGAAATTAGAAATACTGCTCTGCTGTGTTTCAGATCCATTCTAAGGAGCCATCAGGATTAACTGTTTCTGTGGCACAAGGAAGATCCATACAGGCCTTGCTGCTCCACAGTAAAGTGCATTATTCTAAGTTCATCCAGTCCCACGTGTGGACAGAAGTTACCCTGGTCAGCAGAGGAATGGCCCAGTCCTGGCTTGGTCACTCCTCTCTCTCAGCTTTCTGCTCTGTTGCTTCACTATCTCCCATTCTCTCTGCAGCAACATTTTTATGTCACAGCAAATTACAGGCCCAAATAGACACCTGCCAGTGTCAGTCCCTTATCAGCTCTCAGCTCGAAAGGATCAAACCTCTGGAGGAGGAGAAAAGCAAAGTTCTGCCTGAAGATGGGCACGGAGGACAGGGCACCTGAGCCATCTGGCCTGAACAGCTCCAGCCCCAGGTGCTGCTGTCTGAGGGACTGCAAGTTAACTGAGGCAGGTGCAGTTCCAGGGAGCTCACAACCCTGGCCCAGCCTGGAATCACAGCTGTGCTGCCTCTGCAGACAGCTGTGGGCACAGCTGTGGGCACAGCTGGGGGCACAGCCACCCTCAGGCACTGAGCACTGATGATCCCCAGGCTCCTGGGGCAGAGCCACCTGCCTGGAGCTGAGAATGCCTGGCACACTGGGCATCCCACAGTAACCCCTCATCCATGTTCTCTTCCATTTCCCAGGACATCCAGCCCTACCCAGGCCCTGCCACTGCCCCAGACAACAAACAGCAATCTGAGTGGCCAAGCACTGCCAGCAGATGGGGAAGTGTCTCTGTGTCCCTCACCACTCTGACAGTGCCTTCATCTCCTCTGCAGAGAAGGGTGACCCCACAGACCAGCAAGCAAAGATGACCCCACAGACCCAATTTTTTGCCATCTTGAAACAGCACAGGGTTAAGAGTCAGAGTCACTCAAGAGCTGGAGTCATGAGAGTGTGAGAGATTTCATCTCCTGAAGGTGATAAAAACACTGGAGAACAGAATGGCCCAGAGAAGCTGCCTGATGCTGTACATATGCTGATAATTTGCATTTAGTTTTGCACTCAGAGCGGTACCAGCAACTCATGAAAGCATAAGGCAACAATTAATACTGAGACTACAAACAGTCAGCACTGCCCATACTGCAGCACCTGCCAGCACAGCCATCCTGCCAGGCAGGCTCTCTGAAGGCATTTTCTTCCATTGTGAGAACAAATGTTTCAGTGTTCCCTGAGGCAAAATACATATGGGCAGTTGATTCCTGGCAGGTGGCACCTCATTTTTCTAAGAATACAAAAGGTAATATTATACCTGTTATTTTACTTCCTGTTTTATTCAGCTACAATGACAAATAGCAGGGTATCAGGCTGTTTGATCTGGAGGCATTAATACAGGCATATTTGAATAAAAATAAAGTCAATTAGAAGAAATAAAGTGAATTCTTGAGAGACCATACAGCACCTTTATCTAACTTGGTAAAGAAAAAACCCTCTCCAAGTCTTACACTACAGAGCTTATCAATCCCAGCACATCACTGTCAGTCATGGCTGTTCCCAGCCTAAAGGAACAGCCAGGCTCAGCCAGCTGCAGGGAAGGGAAAAGTGGAGCCAGGAGTGTCACACATACCAACTTATCTTGGCTACTGCCTACAAAACAAAGGCAGAACAGATTTAAACACAAGCAGTACCCTGAAATAAATTTACAACTCTTATTTTTTCCTTTCTGATCCCCAGACTTCCAGATCTGTACTGGGGAAAGCAGCTGCCCCGAGGGCCAAAGAGCAGAATGAAAGGTGGGCTGGTGTGTCTCCAATGTGTGCACAGAGTGGAGGAACTGGAGTGCACACTCTACGTGTGTATAAATTAAAAAAAAAAGACAGGAGAAAAAAGACAACCAATCTTTTGTGAGGTAATGTTCTGTTTTTAAATGTCAGCTTTATCCATCTGAAATAATATCTCCTAGAGAAAGAGCTGAACTTTGCTGTGAGTGACAGTGTGCTCTATTGGAACAGACAGTTTGATCTGGGACTGAATTTACCTGGGCCGAGTTCATCCATAGGTATCATATCACGACTCCCAGACTTCTCATTATCTGTAAAACAGAAACATTGAAACCCCCTCAGTTACATTTGCTTTTCTCCAAACCTGGTAGTTGTGAATTAGTCACAGAACCAGAGAGGTCCATAAAGCACTGAATGCAGAGATTACTGTAAAACAATCCCAAACTGTTCAACTGTTATCCATTCAGAAGTTTGACTGAAGTTCCCCAGAGAGCACTTGTAATCCTTCCATCTCCTGCTTTAGCACTGTAATACACAACTCCCTCTCTCCAAGTGACACCAGAAACCACAATTCTGCTTTGCACTATCCACCACTATTAAAAAACCTTCTCCCTGGTCTCTCCAGAAGAGAACATAAGGCAGGTGCAGCTTCTGACGGCACACAGTCCAGTCCAGCAGCCTGCTGAGCCACCAGGAAGCCAATCCACAAAGAAAACAAGTTCCCTGTCACATCAGCAAACTGACCCAAATCATCCTTCACCTGCATAATCCTCCAGGTTTGATCAAAGACAGGGAAGGTGCAAACAGGCAGGCAGTGTGGGGCTGTCACTGCTGCAGTTAAACAGGTAATGTGCACCACGAAAACCTGCTGTCAGGAACCAGAACCAGGGACAGGGACAGAGCTACCACACTGACATCAAAGCTGGAGCCACACCAGAGCTGCACCTCATGGAAAGGCACAGGTCCAGCTGGAGCTGGGATTAACTCACCTCCAGTCAAACCCCTGCACAGCAGAGCAGGAAGCTGTGCCACAACAGACGGGCTTTGTTCAGAAGGGAAAAGACTCCAGCACTCAGCAGGGGGAAGGGCAAGCCCATTCCCAGGGGGATTGATCTGTGTTCCATACCAGTTGAGAAAACACTCTCAACAGTGTAACTTCCTCAGGGAAGGAGTATCATCCATATGCAGGTAAAAAGGACTGAGCACTGTGGGACTGTGGGGTAAAATCACCTCAAATAATGCATTTTTACCCCCTCACGCTGCAACACAGTTACAGCAAACCCAGAAAACAAGAAAGCAAAGCACTGCAGAACAAGGGATGAGGAGCAGAACTGACCTTGACTTTTATCCACCAGAGGCAACGTGCTGTCATCATAGCCAGACCTGCCAGCAGGAGCCTTGGAGCCCTTCGGAGCCGCAGACACGGACTAGAGACAAAACCCACACAAATAGAGCTGCTACTCAGGCCAACTGGACGAGGAAAATAAACAAACCAACACTGTGGAGAGACCGTGGAATGCTGCTGAGCATTCCCCCTGCTGTTGGTAATATGGCACTGGAGGATTCTTTTATTTTCATATAGATCTGCTGGGGGGATTTTCTTCCTGTTATCTAAAGGGCAGCACTGATGCTCTGTAAAGGAAAGATGGAGAGGCTGCAGGTGAAGCAGCCCTGCCCTGCCACAGGGGATGTTTCAAATGAGACAACTGAGACAAGACATGCTAATTCTTCCTCCAGTAAAACCGGGGCATTTGGCCTGTCAGAGGTGGCAAACTTCCCAAACCTGGAGAGCTGCATTTCCCAGAGCCCAGGAAAGCACAGCCAGCAGTACCTGCACGGTGGTGTGACTGAGCAAAACACAATCCCCTGGGCTATCACCCAGAAGATGTGAAGCCTACCATCTACCACACTGCAATCCTACACTAAATTAGGACATCTTCCACTCAGGCATTTCCCATCCTAATCCAAGATCCAGCACCTTTACCTGAAAGTGGGACTTGTTCCACCCATCCTTCTGCAGGGCACTTCGTAGCTCTTTGTAGCTCCAGATCATCTGAAGAATGTGAGATGCTGCTTTTGTTTCTCTGGCAGATTGGCTGATATGCAAGACAAAATCAGAGCTTAAGTGTCAAGCAATGTCAGACTGTTCAAGTGTTGGTACCTAGTGCTGCACACAGCTGTTATCTGCACCTCAGGGTTATGGTATTTATGTGACTTCTTCATACCCACAGGTGTTTGCTGACAAAAACAGAAATCAAGAAGTTGTAAATTGTGCACATTTTTGGGTTTTCACAAGTACTGCTGGACAAGCACTGAGGCCAGGGTGACCCTTTTCTCTTGTAGCATCAACAAAAAACAGATTCCATCCAGGGGAAAAAAACCCCAAACCCTCCCAAACTACAACAAAAAAGTTCTATGCCACTTTTCAAACCTTCCCCCCAGTGCATCTCTGTCCCTCACAATTCAATGAATTTGCTCCATGGTTTAGAATACCTTACAAAGTAATTTGGGTCAGCAAAAAAATAAGCTGTTTTTAAACAGAAAATGAATTTTTATCCATTCCCTACTAGGTCAATAAAATAAAACAGGTCTAGATTTTTGGTCAGCTCCTATTTCGTAACAATACAACCCAACAAAGCTACTCTCCCAGAAGTTTGCTGAAAATGCACCTACAATGTGTGACTGGCTGAGCCACACAAAACAAAGGCTCTGAAGCAGCCAGAACACAGGTTTTCATCCTGGCATTTCAGGAATGGAACGCTGCCACAGAAAAAAGGGCTCCCACACTAAACCCCAGCTCAGGGTTTCACTGCAAATGCTGTCTGAGTGCAAGGTGGTGCCAGGATGTCTCTGACAAGGAGAGAGGATGTCACAGCGTGGCTGAAGTGACCACTCAACTAACTTTCATCAAGTAAATCTACTGAAGGTGCTGGCTGTAGGTATCAGCTGCTGAAATTAAAGCTCTGGAAGGCTCAGGATGCTCCAGTAGTTCACAACTCAAAAGCTGCTGTTCATGGACCCTGTCATGTCTGCAGGCAGTTCCTGTGCATTCCTTCCAGCTGTCACCTACCTGGACTTGCTGATAGCTACCAGCTTCTGAATGCCCTGGGTCTGGATCAGGGACCTTGCATTTTCTGAGCTGTCAGTAATGATTTCATGGATGGTATTCAACACTGCCACCACTGTATCCTCTTCCAGGTTCTTTGCAGATCTCTGCTGCCTGCTGGGCAAATTCCTTACCAGCTCACCCATGGCATAACTACCTAGATAGGGGGAAGAGATACCATCAGGCAGCCCTAATAATCAATGCAGCTTCCCATCCTGAATGACAACACTCAAGGGCACTTGACACGTCAAGAAAAACTTTACAGTGCACGTGTTTTGAACCTCAAGACTGTATCTTCGCAGGGTATTACCACTCCTGCTTTCAAGGAGATTGAGGGTTGATACCCAAGACAAAGCCCTTCATCATAAATGCTAAAAAGTATTGAGAGGGGGGAAAAAAAGCAATCTTTATTGAGAATTTTACAGCCAGCATCTATCATATTTTGAGAAGCCTGAGGCAACAAAAGCATCCAGCAGCTGCTGCCAATGCCACATTCTCATGCTAATACACACACAGCCTGCTCAGCCTAGCTTTGTAACAGGCCTTCTGGGGCAAGGAGTGCAGCCCTGCATTTATTGACCTTCCCCCACAAAGGTGAGAGCATTTCCCCCTGGGTGCACTCAGCCTCCTCCAGGCACAGTACTGCAGAAAAAACTGGGGGCTGGACTTGACCACTCCCAGGTGCCTGTGCCACTGGGCTGGCTACACCTCTGAACCAGTAAAAAGAGAACCTGAGGCATTAAGGCAGAATCCCACCTTGCTATTTGCTGGTATCAACTTCCATGGTGGCCCTAAAGATGTCACCAGTATTTCCTGACTCCCACTCAGTCTCTGTGACCACCACACAAGTGCCCCACCAGTCAGAGCTAAGGACGAGACAAGAAACCTCTAAACCCACCCAATCCTCTGCACATCTCCACACACTCCTCCTGCAAAAGTCTGCATCTGATTTTACTCCCAAGTCAGAAAGCTCCCTCAAACCACAGCTTGCCTGGGTGGGCTGTAAATACATCCTGACTGACAGACCCAGCTTGGTGGCTGCAGGACAGCGTGGGTGGGAACTGCACCCAGAGGGATCCCCAGCACAGGGACAGAACACGGGAGGTCTCCCGAGGGTCCCCACAGTCCCAGGTCGGTTAGAGAAGCTCAGCAGGTACCTATGAGGTCCTTGTTGCGCCGATCCATGGAGAGGTTTCTCAGGGCAATGGACACAGCCCTCACCACCTTGTCCGAGTCGGACTGGAGCAGCTCCACCAGCACCGGCAGCCCCCGCTCCTTCCGCACCGTGGCACGGATGTACGTGGACCACTGAGCAGCCAAAAGAAACAACACAACAAGCACTGTGAGTCCCTGCCCCGGCCCTTCCCTTCCCCTGCCACTCCTGTCAGTGCTGTAAAGCCTTTGCTCCCCTGCAGAGACCCGCTCTGGTGTGTGCGCTGATGTCTCAACCCATCAGTCAAGTGCATCGAGCACCAAGGAAGAAAGGACGCAGAAGTTCATCCTGCACCTGAGGAAGCTGCTGGGGAAAGAGGACAGAAATAGGAGGAAGGAGGGTCATCCATCAGCATCTGTTCTGTACCTACCTCAGTGTGAGAACACATCCCTCTGGGTTAGGAAAAAAAGGTCATTTGGGAAAAACAGCAAAGCATCTAAAGCATCTGTTATCTTCCTCCTTCTCCGATTTCATGCTTTTATTCTGTTTCACAAATGAGTTTAAACTAAGCTGCAGCCAAGACAGCTGTGAAACACCATCCTGCTGACCCTCAGGCCGCTGATCAGCCCCACTCTGCCATGTGATTCCAGACATGACCAGGCATAGCTTTGAGAGAACTGCCTGACTCGTGCTGGGGATGCTTCCCAGAGGATGCAGAAAGGACACTGGCAGTGCAGCTTCCTAAGCAGTCTGAAAGCCAACAAATGAAGTATTCAGGACACTTAATTACCTAACACCAGGGTTTTCTGAGGGGACAAAGTAAATGGTTAAGTGGCCTAAGTTAGTAAAACTTGTTCATGGGTAAACTGTCATGAACTCAGTGACACTTCCACTACAGAAACATCATCTGTCCAGAAGGTGCAAAACATCTTCAGTGAGCAAATGGAAATAAACCTTTGGCCTTCCCACCTCCTTCCTTTTCAAAGGAGATGCAAATGCAGGAGGTAACAGTGCCCTTCCACTGGGACCCTTCTTTGTTCTGTACCCACAGAAAGGAGACCAAGGGGCTGCAGAGAGGATGCACTCACCGTCCAGTTGCCAGCACTGAGGTTCTGCAAAGCTCCTGCTGCAGCTTCCAGAGTGTTGAAGTTCTGGCTCTCAGTGAGGATGGAGAGGTACAGCCTGACCACATCTGGCTGGTACAGTAACTCAAAGCCTGCAGGAGAACAGAGCAAGAGAAGCAGAGAGGACAATGAACACACAGCATCCCTTGTGTTTAACCACAGGAGAGAACAGCCAGGAGAAAGCTGCTACCCCCCAGAAAGGAGGGCTTCTACCACAGTCAGGACAGTCCATGCACAGCTGTGGCAAACAGTGCTGGCAACTCCTGCAGAGCATGTTCCATGGTCTGAGGGGCCCTGTGCTTGTGTTCAGGCTGACAACTCTCTCTGCATATCTCCACATACTCCTCCTGCAAAAGTCTGCATGAGGCACTGCATCAAAGAGGGCAGAGCATGCCAAGCATCCTGGGAAAGGACTGGCCACCCTCGGTGCTGTCTGGAGTGTCTGGAGTGTGTGAACAGAAACTGAACCCCCTGAAGTGCTCTGGGGAGTGCAGGAAGCACAAGCAGCCATGGTCAGCACAGCCTCACGTGCAGTCACTGCACTGCTTTGGTGGCTCGGGGCAGTTTGCACTAAGCAAGGCTCAGCAGGCATTACCTAGGAAAGGGTTGAGAGAACACAACATCAAAGAAAGCAGAAAGGCATCAAGGAACTTGGGCAAAGAGGGATTTGAAGCTTCTTTTGAGCAGAAGAATTTTTTGATTATTATTTGTACACATGAAAAGGATGTTTTTCACCTCACCAGATGCTGTCCTAGAAGTGGAACATAATTCAAAGCAAGTTTTCCACTAGGAAGATGGAAAACCTACAAACACAAATCACTTCCTCTCTACATTACTTGCTCTTCAAAAATCACCAATCCCTCATATACATATTTTTCAGCACGTATCACAGATTATCATATTTTAGACATCTCAGATCAAACCTACAAGCAAGAAAACTAAGCAATGCTATCCTGTCCTGTGGATATCCTATAATTTTTTTTCCTTTTAAAAATTCTCTTTTGGTAAAGGCTTTCTGAAATTACAGCCTTGGTTTTAAATCTGCTTCTCCACATTCTTCACAGCAGTTCCTGCTGTGGGGCTGTGTGAGCCAAGCTCTCAGATCCACTTTAAACCTCCTACAACACTGCCCATAAACACAGGCCGTGCCACCCCCTGGGAATACAGGGGGTATTTATCCCCCTGAAAGCAAGGAAACACTTCATTAGCCTTAATTTCTTAATTAAGTGACTCCAGTGACTGGAGAGTGAACCAGCTCCACGTCTGGGACTGCTTTTAATGCCACCACTTGTGTGCTACACATGACACCCTACAGACATGTGCAGGCTGCAACAGGTGGCAATCCCCAAAGGCATCCTGCCAATCCACACCCCTGACCTTGCTCTTCTCCAGTGTCCCCTCCCTGCACTGGGATCACTGCCCTCTCCACTGAATGCACAGGGAAAACTGTCGTTCCTCAATCCAGGAAGCATGAGCAGCTGTGCAGCTCTGCTCCACTCCTCCAGTCAGGCTGTGATTATCTGACTCCAGCACAACCTTCAGACCACCTTTTCCCCCTGACACTTCACAAGGTGAACTGGCAATCTAAGAACTGCTCAAGAAAAACCACTGCTGATAAGCACCCAGTATTCCTTTCCTGAACACTAATACCTGAAAATCTCTCAGGACAGCCTGCTGGAATTCTGACACCGTGTTATCGTCAGGGAAGCTCTGCTGAAATGTAAATCAGATCAGCAGAACGGATGAGAAGGCAGGTTCATTAACAGATAATACTCATACAGAACATTTGCTGCTTCCGTGTGTGAGCTCAGACCTGCCTGTGGTTCAGGAGATGCCAGTGCTCAGCCAGCCCTCTGGTTTACAGTGTCCATCTGCAACTTGGGCACCTTGAAACAGCCCCACGTTCACCCGTGCTGTTATTTACAGGCAGTCTGTGCTGTGCCCCTGTCAGTCTGGACACTCCTCAGCACCTCCCTGTGTGTGAACACCAAGAAGCTCCAACCCTGTCACCTCTGTTCCCTCCTGGCAGCATTCCAGGCACGCAGCTCCCACCCGCTCCCTGTCATTGCCTCTCTCCACGCAGGAAAGCCTCTCCTTTTCCCTACTTACTGATGTAAGAGCATCTCAAAAATGCCTCCACCTCCTCTCCTCAATAATGCACAGCATTTGCTCTACCAGCTACCGGTACATGCCTGCTTTGGGGCACAGCTCCTTAGCCAGCTGGAGGATGATCCTCTCCTCACTCCACACATCCCCCCTTTCCAACCACTCCGATGCCTCTGCCCTACTGGCACCTGTTTAAACAGTTAACAAGGGCTGCCCAAAACAGAGAGAACTCTGGCCTCCCTCCTGTCTCCCCTCTCCCCTCACTGCTGCATCTCCCAGCACTGCAGCCCTTCTGTCAGCCTGGCTCTGCCAGGGAGAGGCAGCAGGATTTGCCTCAGCCCAGTATTAAGAATGCCCTCGTGGATGCTGCTCATTAGCAGGGATGAGATCCTAATAGCGAGCAAGTTACTGCTGCACTGGAGGGTTTCCCCTCATTGACAGCAACCTGACACTTCTCATAAGCATTAGAGTGCCTTAAAAAGAAACAAACAAGTTTTATATTTTCTCCATCTGCTTCCTGTCCTAATGAATCCAGCTCTGCTATTTATAGGATGCAATTTGTCTGAATTATTATAAATTTCCTCCCAGTGTTGCATGGAGGCCTCTAACATTTTTCCACGAAGCGCTTCAGGCACGTTCCTGGAAGCACAGCTGGTCTCACCTCCATTAAGCACCTGCTTCTCTTCAAAACCGATTTCCTTAATTTCAAGATCATCTATAATTATTTTTTCAGGTGATGCTACTTTTATGCAATATACAGCTAACTGCTTATATCCATTTTTTTTAATGGAAATGAGGAAAGAGGGTCATTAGTGACAGATAATGCATCCAATGAGAACAACATCCACTGTTTTTCTTGGTCTTTAAAAAGCTGTCTTAATTACAGCCCAGATTCAGTGCTGCCCCTAAAAAGATAATTTTCCTAGAATAAACGAAACTTTTCCATCAGTTATGGATTTGTGCTGAGTTGCAATCTGTCTCCTCCTGGAAAAGCATAGAGATAAGTCATTTAGTGCTTCTTTCCACTGCAGAGTAAACGAGTTCCCTGTGTTAGCTTTTGCCTTTCAGAGAAACAGAGCAATGCCTCGAACCCTGCTGGCACTGGAGCAGGGTCTGAGCACTCCCCAGTGACCACAGACACGTCACAGAGGAACAGCTTCCACCTCAGACTCATCTTCCACCTGCAGTCTCATCTTTCTGAGAAAAAGGAAGATGAGCTTCTCTGCAGCAACTCATCCCTGCAGTGTGCACAGGCAGGGCACACCCGTGCTTTGAGTCTCGCTTGCTGCACTCTGGTTCCCACGGCAGAGAAGGTGCAGCACCACCTGGACTCCTCTGGGATGCCACTACAGCAAGAGGTGCCCTCTGTGCCCACAGCCCCCAGGGGTGGGCAGGACTGGGAGCTCAGGGGCTGCTGTGCTGGGCAATCCCAGCAGCTGTGACAGCGACCGGCAGATGGAGCGAGAGGAGCCCGAACGCACCTTCCCTGCAAGGTCACTACTAACAGACTCTGCAGAGTAAAGAAAGCTCCCTCAGCAACCAGGGAGCTGTGAGCCAAAAGAAAAAAAGAGGGAAAAAAAAAGAGTCACGTCAGTAAAAGAAAGGAACGATTATCCTCTGCACAAAGGAAAGCTCCGCAGCCCTGGGACTCCTGCCCTCTGCCGACAGCCGGCTGGGACCTTCACCACAGCCCCTGCACTCCACTGGCTGCAAGCTGTGCTCCAGAGCTCCCAATTATCTGCTACAGAAATGTTTCCAGAACATGTAAGCAGCACATCAGTCCGGCAGGTGAAGCCTCCCCTCCCAGGAACACCTCACCTCATGGTGTGGTTTCACAGCAGAGGAATGGGAAACCCCACAGAAGGCTGGGGGAGGCAGCTGGGCACTTTCACAAAAACTGTAATCAGATCCCTAAGAAACCCGAGCCATCAGCTCCGTTCCATCTGTATGCCGTGCTTCAGCAGCCGGTGCACAGAGCAGCCTGAATGCCAACATAAACCTGCAAGATTCTTCTGATGGAAAGGCTTAACAGGAGCGAGGATGCAGCAGCTCCAAGAGAGCCAAACGCCTGCCATGGCTACTGGAGAACGCAGAACACCGAGTGTCACACAGCTGAGAACAGCAAACTCTGCCAGCAATGAACACAAAGGACCGGGGAAAGGTCTGAACAGTCCCTGTGGCTCTCACTTCAAGGTGCAGGACGAGTCAGGACAGCGACTGCGATTACTGCAGAGACCCAATCACCAATGCAGCATCCACCACTGGGCACGAGCTCCACAGACAGACAGAACAGCCTTTGAACAGCACTGAAAAGAACCACCAGAATAATATGGGACACATGAGACTCAAATCAGGCCTGAGGGAACGCTTAAGAAGAGTTTTTCTATTTGGAAAATGAACACCACAGTGTGTGACCTTTCCAACTAATCTACTAAGTCACACAAAAGCTCTACAATGATGTAAACTCTTCCCAGCTTACCACATACTCCCACAATGAAAGCAGCAATGGCACGCTGGTTGAAAAGGGAAGCAAGCAAACCCCCACCCCAAAGGATGTAACAGGATTGTTACCAGCACTACCAAGCGTGGAGGTATGCAAAAGAACCCACGGGGAGCAAGGCTGACTGCAGGGAAGACAGAAAGGCAGCAAGGAAAGGAAAGGGAGGGCAAGGCAGTGCAGCAGAAACAGGGATGCCTGGGAAAGCAAACTGCCTTTTGCTATTTCTATTATTCTTTACATTTCCCAAGCTGCACAAGCTGTCATCAAAGTACCTTCCCTTACAGAGCACGCTTTGTAAAAGGGCAGTTATATTCCACTTCATATCCAAAGAATATGCAATTCTACAGAGAGGTGGCTCAATTAAACACAACCCATTTTGACCTTGTGTGAGTTCCAGCACTTCTGTTTTCTGTGAGCACACATTTTAAAGCTAACACAGCCTTCCCTTTCCAAAGGGCCTGCAAGCAGCATTTCTCCCAGCAGCGT